TTAAAGGAAAAAAAATTTTTTTCCCTGCAAGGGCCCCAAAAGTAGAAAAAAAATTTTTTTTTCCCCAAAAAAAAAATTAATTTTTGTTCACACAAAAAGAAAAAGGCATGCACAATTTCTTTCACTTACTTTTATTTAAAATCTGGGGATGATTTATGGGGGGGAGGAGGGGGGAGAGAGAGTGTTATGTTTAGAAGGGGGGAAACCCCTTCCATTAGGGGCTTTGGGGAGCAATCCTTTTCCGGGGTTTCTTCCCTTTTCTTTTAATGCCACTAGGGCCACTTTAGAGTCACTGGGCCTCTGGGCGCACAACAATCTGGGCCAAGAGCTCTGTACCTCCCTTTTCCTTTTCGATTTGTCTAAAAAAGGGCCCAAAAATTTTCTTGAAATATCACCACACGGCTTGCAACGCTGTGTCAGGGTTTATTTTTATCCATTTAAAAGGTTTTTTCAGTTCAACCCACTTTGGGACACATTTCCTTTAAATTTTTTAAGTTTGGCACAAAAGGGTTCACAACTGGCATAGGCTTCTCGGGTTAAACCCCAAAACCTTCAAAATCTTTCTTAATTTCCCTTTCTAAAATTTTCACCCCTTTTTTTTACAGGGGTTTGGGACTAGAAAACTTTCTTGGGGGCCCCTGGTCATTATTTTCCAGAAAAGCACCGAACACTGTAATAATTTTAAAAATTCCCAGTGTTTTTTGAATTTACCCCGGAGGCTGGGGGTAAAAAAAAGGGGGGGCGGCACATGTGAGGCTGGCTGAGGCCCCCACATTGGGCGCGTCTCGGCAAGGTCGCTGGGGCGGGGTTTTTGGTTTCCCCTATGCGGGGGAAATTTTTGGAACCCAAAACGTTCGCTATGCGGAAATTTTTTCCTATCAAGGGGGTTCGCTATGGGGGGTCCCTTATATATTACCCGTTTTGGGGCCCTTTGACCAAAAGATTGGGCCCTCGACTAACTTTTAAATTTTGGGCCCAAAATACGTTTTTAAAGCTAACATGTTGCCTCTCTAACCCTTAAAAAAAAACCCCACTAACGAAATCGTTCTCGGGGACCAAATTTAAAATCAAATTTGTCAGGGGCCAAATTCATATTTTTAATATATATTATTATATTATATTTAAAAATATAATTAAAAAAAATTTATAAAATTTTATATAATATATATATTACAGGAAGGGCCCCCCCTTTACGGCGGGTTTGGTTCCAGGCTACCCCCAAAAAACGGAAACTGCCCTAAGTGGGAAACCCTTTTTTTTTCCCCTTTAAAAAAATAAAAAACATAGAAAACAAGTTTACCAAAAAATTATTATGTTAGCAATAGAAACCCGGGATCAAAAAAAAAATTTTAAAAAAATCAATTTCACACATAAATGCACTCATTTCTTACCTTAAAATATTTAAAGTCTTAATCTTGGGTGAGACAAGAGTAAATTTTTTGTAAAAAATCAAGTGTGGTTTTGTTTGTAAAAAGCCAGGCTACCCCACCCGGCCACCCCCCCACAATACTATTCTATGATTTTTTAAGCATCCCAGAGCGATAAAAAGTTATACAGTTCACAAATTACTACCTTTTAAAAAATTTGATCTTTAAAGTAAGGGGCGGGTAAAATAAAAAGAATAAAACAATAAAAGAGGGGAGGGGAAAAAAATGAAATACATGAGAGGGAAAAAGGCGCCCGAGTTTTGTAAAAAAAACCCGGCCCCCCACATCTTTTATTTATGTTTTTTATTCATTGTGGGGTGATTTATCATCTTTTTTGTTTTTGTATCGTGTTTTTTATAAATTTTGGAAAAAAAAAAATCATGGAAGGGTTAATAAATGTTTTATTAAACCCAATATCGACATTTAAAAAGAGAACCCGGGGGACTATTTTTATTATTTTCTCCTTTTTGAAGTCGTCGCTCACTTTTCACATTTATTTTTTTTTATTTTCTGTGGGGGTTAAAAATTTAAACTTATTTTTTATTTTATCTTTGTGGTTTTTTATATAATTTTTAAAAAAAAAATCATGGATGGATTAATGAAAATGTGTTTATTAACCCAAATATACACATTTTAAAGAGACTCGGGGCAAATTTTTAATTTTGGCGTTTTCCCTTTTGGAATCGTTGTCACAAACTCACATTTATGTTTTTTTTATTCTACTGTGGGGGGTATTTACTTTTTTATATGTTATGCAAAAATGTTTATTATAAATTTGAAAAAAAAAAATAGGGGTGGGTTAATGAAAAAAGTGTTTTTACCGAATATACGCCCTTTAATGAGACTCGGGGAGTATTGTTTTATGGCTTTACTTGGGAAGTTCCCTCTGCTCACATCTTTACATTTATTTTTTTTATTCTACGTGGGGTGTATTTATCAAATTTTTATGTTATGATCGTGTTTTTTATTAATTTTTTAAAAAAAAATATATGAAAAAAAAATGAAAAATGGTTTTATTCCGTAATATACGAATTTAATGAGACTCGGGGATATTGGTTTTTTATGGCGGACCCTTTTGGAAGGGTTTGTCTGCTCACATCTTTACATTTATGTTATTTATTCTATGTGGGGGTATTTATCTTTTTTTATATTTTTATGCATCGTGTTTATTATATAATTTTGAAAAAAAATATCATGGATGGATTAATGAAAATGTGTATATTAACGTAATATACGACATTTAAATGACTCGATGTATGTAAGTTTATTTAGGTACGGTATACATAAGTATAATTATCAGAGTATATATAAAATATGAATAAACTTTTAAAAACATTTGAAATTTTGGAGTTTCCAGACAAAATGGAGAGACTTAGTGCTTACTGAGCTCATGGAGAATGTAAACAAACAGGGTGGGGCACGGTGACCGTATTAGAAAGTCAGGTGGGGGGAGCCGTATAGTGAGTTTTGGTCATAATTTGAAATGTCCGTATTAGCGGAACGCCGTAAAGTGAAACGCCGTAAAGCGGGTCCTTCCTGTATATATATATTTTCAACAAGTCGGCCGTCTCCCACCGAGGCAGGGTGACCCAAAAAAGAAAGAAAATCCCCAAAAAGAAAATACTTTCATCATCATTCAACACTTTCACCACACTCACACATTATCACTGCTTTTGCAGAGGTGCTCAGAATACAACAGCTTAGAAGCATATACGTATAAAGATACACAACATATCCCTCCAAACTGCCAATATCCCAAAACCCCTCCTTTAAGTGCAGGCATTGTACTTCCATTTCCAGGACTCAAGTCTGACTATATGAACATAACCGGTTTCCCTGAATCCCTTCGCTAAATGTTATCCTGCTCACACTCCAACAGGTCGTCAGGTCCCAAGTATCATTCGCCTCCATTCACTCCTATCTAACACGCTCATGCACGCTTGCTGGAAATCCAAGCCCTAGCCCCACAAACCTCCTTTACCCCCTCTTTCCAACCCTTTCGAGGATGACCCCTACCCCTCCTTCCTTCCCCTATAGATTTATATGCTTTCCATGTCATTCTACTTTGATCCATTCTCTCTAAATGGACCAAACCACCTCAACAACCCCTCTTCTGCCCTCTGACTAATGCTTTTATTAACTCCACACCTTCTCCTAATTTCCACACTCCGAATTTTCTGCATTAATATTTACACCACACATTGCCCTTAGAGACAGGACATCTCACTGCCTCCAACCGTCTCCTCGCTGCTGCATTTACCACCCAAGCTTCACATCCATATAAGAGTGTTGGTACTACAATACTTTCATACATTCCCTTCTTTGCCTCCATAGATAACGTTTTTTGACTCCACATATACCTCAATGCACCACTCACCTTTTTTCCCTCATCAATTTCTATGATTAACCTCATCCTTCATAAATCCATCTGCCAACACGTCAACTCCCAAGTATCTGAAAACATTCACTTCTTCCATACTCCTCCTCCCCAATTTGATATCCAATTTTTCTTTATCTAAATCATTTGATACCCTCATCACCTTACTCTTTCTATGTTCACTTTCAACTTTCTACCTTTACACACATTCTCAAACTCATCCACTAACCTTTGCAATTTTTCTTTAGAATCTCCCAATAGCACAGTATCATCAGCAAAAAGTAACTGTGCCAATTCCCATTTTGAATTTGATTCCCCATAATTTAATCCCACCCTCTCCCAAACACCCTAGCATTTACTTCTTTTACAACCCATCTATAAATATATTAAACAACCATGGTGACATTGCACATCCCTGTCTAAGACCTACTTTTACCGGGAAGTATTCTCCCTCTCTTCTACACACCCTAACCTGAGCCTCACTATTCTCATAAAAGCTCTTTACAGCATTTAGTAACTTACCACCTATTCCATATACTTGCAACATCTGCCACTTGCTCCTCTATCCACTCTATCATATGCCTTTTCTAAATCCATAAATGCAATAAAAACTTCCCTACCTTTATCTAATACTGTTCACATATATGTTCAATGTAACCACTTGATCTACACATCCCCTACCCACTCTGAAGCCTCCCTGCTCATCCGCATCCTACATTCTATCTTACCTCTAATTCTTACAATTATAACCCTTACGTATACTTTTCCTGGTATACTCAGTAAACTTATTCCTCTATAATTTTTACAATCTCTTTTGTCCCCTTTCCCTTTATATAAAGGGACTATACATGCTCTCCGCCAATCCCTAGGTACCTTCCCCTCTTTCATACATTTATTAAACAAAAGTACCAACCACTCCAACACTATATCCCCCCCTGCTTTTAACATTTCTGTCATGATCCCATCAGTTCCAGCTGCTTTACCCCCTTTCATTCTACGTAATGCCTCACGTACCTCCAACACACTTACATTCTGCTCTTCTTCACTCCTAAAAGATGGTATACCTCCCTGGCCAGTGCATGAAATTACTGCCTCCCTTTCTTCCTCATATATATATTAAGTATAATATGTTATGCTGAAATGCTTAGTACTGAATATATGATGGTTTTCTCAAGATCTAAAATGTTTAAACTTTACAGGTGATGATTTGTATCCAAATGATCCAGACTATATAGGAAAGGAAGCAATCACCAAACTGGATTCAACACTGGAAGAACTGCGGAAAGCAGCTACACATTTAAACAGGATGGAAATAAGGAATAGAGATGATGTGCGTTGTATTGTGAACATTTTACCTAAATATGGGCACATTCCCGCTGTAAATAGTATGCAGGTATTTGATAATTTAAAATCATAGTATTATAGAGATTGAATGTCAGTGTTGGTTTGGTAAAATCTGTTAAGACTTACATTAAAGGTTAGTGTGTAGTATTGTGAAAACATTATTTATTTGCCATAATTAAATTTGCAAGCCAGTATAACCCTTCCACATGGAAATTCGTAATACTAATTCAAATGGCAAAAAAGGTAAAGGAAGAGACCTGTAATATTACACTCTGACTTATTTTGCCACATTTCAGATCAGAGAATTGGTAAAGGTAATACAGTGGACCCTCGACCGGCGATATTAATCCGTTCCTGAGAGCTCATCGTTAATCGAAATTATCGTTAGTCGAGTTAATTTTCCCCATAAGAAATAATGGAAATCAAATTAATCCGTTCCTGACACCCCAAAGTATTGAAAAAAAAAAATTTTACCC